GGGAGCCTGGCTGCATGGATCAGACCTCCATGGTGAGCCTTTTGCATGGAAATCACACTTTTGCTTTAGTAGACTCTTTGCTATTAATATTTTTGCTGTTTCTGCTGATTTTCTTATCTTACTGCTGTTTCCAGCAAATTGTTCTTATATCAACCCATCATATTTACTTTTTTTGCCCCCAGTGCTCTCCATCCCATCACAGGGGAAGAGAGGGAAGGGGAAGGAAGGAAACAGCACACGGTTTGGAGTGCCTCAGTGGAACGACTGAATTGAAGAGTACCACTTCTAAACCACCAAAATGGGGCATAACTTGCAGAGAAACAGCACTATCAGAGGAGATCACACAAACCAGAAATTAACCGCTTTCAGAAATCAGGACAGGGGAGATATTTGAATTAGATGCTTTCACTCTCCCTCTGAAACAGGAGTTTTAGAAAACCTTTTTACTACCTCCATGAAGTTCATCCTTATTTGGTCGTAGAACAAGATACTGAAAAAATTCAATTCACAGACACCCCTTAAGTATTTGGTATCTCATCTCTGAACAGCAAAACCTCTTCAACAGGCCAAGCAGGCATTCCACAAAGGCAAATGTTCCTTAATCCAACAATACATTACATCACTATAAATTTATTTCATTGACTCAGTAAGAGTTTTTCTAAATACTAAATAACTAAGAGCAAATACATTTTAAGAAGTCAAGGTACACATGCAATTCAGCTCGATCATAGTGTGAAGCATGTACTTTATATCAAAGTGTTGCTAGCCAGAGAAAATCTGGAATGTTCAATGACAAATTGCAAAGAAACTGAAACTAAGAGTGTAAGGGTTTCTACTAATAATCTGCACATTTTATTTGAAACTTGATCCTGAAGCCCTCATTCATAAGATCAGACCTATTGAGTTTATTCACATGAGCTTTGGCTGCAAGATTGGACCTTAAGTACTATCAGGTGCACGTGCAGCCTATCATCAGATTTTGGGTTATTCATGCAAGAAGCTACTCTTTCAAATGCAGACTACTTAATGCTTCCTTCTTCATTAACTTACATGTCCTCTTCTGCTGCTCTATGCTTTCATTTGTGCTATGTAAATAGCCTCTCAGTCATCAAAAAAAAAATAATGTCTTTGCAACCAGGGAGGAAATTAGTAGCAGGTGAACACTTATTTTTTAAATCATGTTGAGACCAAGCTGTTCTTTAACTTAAAGGAGATCTGGAAATAAAAATACAATTTTACTCCCAGCCATCTGAATTATGGGTGTCAAGGTCATAATTTTACATACTTATCACACGCACACTAATCAAATATTAACCTTGATGGCAATCTATTTAGTGGAACAAGACTTCTTTGATGACATAAAATTAACTGTATCTTATCATACATGATACCAGGAATTTCTGATTTAAGTGTTTCATTTCTTTGTTTAACGTATCTGTTCTACATAAATACAAAATATTATACTACGGTGAAAGCAAAAAACCATCTCAATTCTTTTGCTACTACCTGCCTACAGGCAGGTAGATCCTTTTGCAGGTCAGAATGGCTGCAACTGCAAGACATGGCATTAACTTGAATAGGATCACAGCAGAGGTATTTATGTTATGGTCCACATTATAATCTACATATTTACAAATCCTCTTTGAATTTTCCAAGACATTGGTAGAGAAGTAAACTGTCAGCACAGGTAAAAGTCTCTTCATCAGTGAAGGCATTCCCAAAAATATTAATGCCAATGTTCAATGGCTTCCAAGTAATCAACAAATTATAACTGCCTTTAGGCTGTAAGATACATGCAAAGCAACAGACAATATCCACCTTCTGATGCTAGGATACTCTGGATATTACATGAGTATGAAAGTAGAAAGTCAGCAAAAGCCTGCAATAACTAAACTGTTGCACAAAATTTTTCTCTATCATACTTCAAACTTGCCACAAAGATTAATCATCAGTTCGAAGCAGCTGCAACGCTATGTTCTATGCACTTCTGCTACCATTTTAATTTTTAAAAAGCAAATGGAGAGGCTCTCTACAAAATTCAATGCCACAATAGCAATGACTGAACCAGAATCACAAAATTATTAACAGTTCCCTAAATTGTCTATTAACAACACATATCAAAAGGCTGCAGGAAAAAATTGTGTGCCTGAAATAACTGATCAGTGAATGAAGAAAAAAAAGATATAAGGAGAGGAGATGTATGGAAACCATTTTGATTTTTGAAGAACCAATTTCCACACAATCAGAAAAATGGCAGAACATCACAGACAGTGTATTCATGATTTTTATCAGCAAAAAAACTCCATGGATAACCAAACTGAAATCTATTAATGCTCAGAAAAGAGAGAATGATGCTGGTATTATAAGGCCAGGGAGTACACTCACTTCTTAAAATCAATAAAACACATTAAAAACACTCCACAACAAACAAATATATATATATATGTATATTATGTATATGCACAGTAAAAAAAAGCTTTCTTGTGTAGGATATACATATTCTTTAAAAATTAGAAAACCAGCATGCAATGACTGAGCTAACAATGGAAACACTGAATACATAAAACAATTTTGTTCAGTGATACAAATATAGCTACTTCATTATCTCACTGGATGGCAAGCTACATAACTGAACCCTAAATGCACATTAAAGAACTCCTACAACCAAAGGATGATGTTTCAAAGCAAAGGCCTAAGGCCAGATTTTACTATATCACTTTACAAATCACTTGAGTGACTGCTTCTTAAGCTACCACAGTTTGCTAAACACATCTTCACCTTAGACTACAAAACAACTTATCAGAGGGTGATACACCACTCCAGTATTATTCAACGTTTGCATCAGTGACCCACTAACTTATGGCACAAAACAAGATTTTATTTATGTGAATAAATGCCAAGGAACAGCACCTCCTGTGTTCCCAAATAACTACATCAAAACCAGACAATGGAGCAACTACAAATCTGTGGCTTGTTTGAACAACTATGTGGTACTGAGCACCTAGTAGAAAAAGACTGAAAGACAAATTAGGGGGTTTTTTCTCTAAAAACACAAAGTAGACAACTTAGAACAATTCCCTGTCAGATATCTGACCTTAAGCCTTCCTTGATCTTTACCTACCAATATAAACAAAGCGCATTTTAAAAGATCATTCAAACTGGAACATGGAGAATGACTATAACTAAGGAAATTGTACAGCACAGATCACAGATACAAGATCCCTGGTCCCAGAAAAAGTGCACAAAAAAAAAAATCACAAAAAGCTTTTCATACTACTGTGGGTTGAAGTACACACACTTTTCAGATGCACAGAATGTGAAATCCACCATGTATTTCCAAATATGCATAGGAAAGTGTGGTGACACAGGAAGCTCACACTGATCTTTAGAGTCATGTCTTGTGCAACTCACTTATTTGGAAAATGGGAATATTTGAACAGTGCAGACACACAAAAACAACCATACACACAGGCCATGCAACAGTATTTTTTCTCAGAAGAAGTGTATATCAAGACACAGCACTACCCCTTATTTGGAAAAGTATACAAAGCGAAACATGTGAGAAGCACCTGCAGTAGCCCCACTCACTTTCTACTCCCTGCCACAGTTCTTGGCAAGAATGATGAGAATAAGGTAAAAAGCAAGCTTCATCAATCCCTGGCAACAAAGCTCTGGCAGGACAAACAGCTGGGCAGCTGCAGCAGAGAGCCCAGGCTGACAAAAGCTGAGCAAGCAAGCAAGGAGCACCCCCAGAGGGCTGGAACACCTCTCCCATGAACCAGGCTGAGTGACTTCGGGCTGCTCAACCCAGAGAACAGACATCACCAGAGAGGCATTACAGCAGCATCCAGTAAAGGGGCTACAAGAGAGCTGGAGAGGGACTACTGACAAGAACATGGAGTGACAGGACAAAGGGCAATAGCTTCAAACCTAGCAAAAGCAGGTAGCTTTAGATTAGATGTTAGGAAGAAATTCTTGACTGTAAGGGTGCTGAGGCGCTAGAAGACTGCCCAGAGAAGCTGGGGATGCCCCAGCCCTGTCAGCCTTCAAGGTCAGGGCTTCAAGTACCCTCATGTAGTAGAAGGTGTCCCTGCCTATGGCAGGGGGTTGGAACTAGATGACATTTAAGGCCCCTTTCAACCTAAACCCATTCCAGGATTGTATGGATAAGGCACTTTTCTTCCTAAGGCACCATTACGCATAAACAAGCCCTGCTTTCCTGCAAATGGGTATATATCTGCCTGCTGATGTAAAGAAGTGAATTGATTTCTTATTGTGTGCATAGCTTTTATTTTACCTATTAAACTGTAACTCAGCCTGTGAATTTTTCATTTTTACCCTTCTGATTCTCTCCCCTATTCCACAGTGAGGAGTGAGCAGGTAGTTATGGGGGGCTGAACTGCCTAGAAAGTACCAGTAGCATCCAAATACACCAACAGATAATGAAGCAATTAATCTTCAGATTTCTGTTTTATTTAGTGGTTCTTGGTATCTCCTGGTAACATGAGAAAATCAACCAATGCATTTATCTTCAGCCAAAAAGAAAATTGTCGCAGCTTTTTAATCCATGAGGTGACTAAGGTTAAAGAAAATACTGTACTGTATAATCTGACTTACGTAGGTAGATGATATTCTATTATGAAGATATACTAAAGTCAAAGAGTAATCTAAATCACCACATAAGCTATATAGCAAACAACAGAAATTACTGTTAGAGCATTAATATGCAGTAAATCCTGAAATACTTTATATTAATGACTGGAACCCCACTAAAACTTTATTAATGTATGCAAAAATATTGTATCTACAGAGAAACAGAACAAAATCCATAGCACATGAACACACAAACACACACATATATATAAATACCCACATATACATCTACATACACACCTTTATATGTACACATATACATGCACACAGATATTAAATGTATGCATATATTTAGATGCTACACACAGTGATATACATACATGCATGCACACGCACAAATTATGTACCTCTCCGAGGGCTTCATAGCGCTTTTGGTTCCATCTATGCAAATCTTCACGATAATTAAAAACAAATGGCTCCCCAGTTTTAATGTGTCTTAATTGCCCTTCTGTAAAAGAAACAAAATCATTATAGTTAATATACTTCTTCATTAAAAGTAAGACACACTCAATTGCTGAAAATTTTAAATGAAGTCTACATCTAAAAATCCAGCCATTATGAATTCCTCCTCATTTTTGGTTATAGGCTTTTTAACAGAAAACAACTGTAGCATAAAAAATTGCACTCCCATTTTATTGTATATACTGCTAGATTACGCCAAACAGAAATTATGACAGTGAAATTGCACACAGATATCAAATGCCAGAGTACTTCACAAGACATATCACACAGATATCAAATGCCAGAGTACTTCACAAGACATATTTACATCTCAACTGCTATGAATTAACAGTGAAATGTAAACATTAGCAGTTAATATTTGATCTGCAGGTGATTGAATTGTAACTACAAATCTTCTAATTCAAAACTAACTGCATTATAAAGAAATGCAAATACAAAAGGGAGCTGGAAGCTGGTAGCAAGGGAAATATTTATCTTCAAGCTTAACAAATTTCTAAGCTAATCTGAAAAGAACCATGTCTGCAGTTACGGAAAATATCTTAACCCCAAGATGAAATCTTGGAAAAAGATTTTCTAGGAAAAGTAAGACTTCCTAGATTTAGGGTTCACTGAGACTACAACAGTAGAATAAAGCAGAATGCTTGTTCAGAGCAAAACTACATGCTACTTTTGCTCTCATTGTAACTTCCTGTAGTTGACCTTGTTTATAGCCAAAGTTAACGCCAAACCCAACCACTTGTGAAGACATGGACTGTGTTAAAACAATGATAATAATAAAAAGGCAACCAGTAGGAAGCCAACTACAAGAACAAATATTTTACCAACAATGTTTCAGCCTATCAGACAAAACACAAGTTCTGATAGAAAACTGCAGTGTATCAGTGAAACATTAAAAACAGTGTTACATGCCAGTAAACACTCAAAGCTGAAACAAAGGTTCCTCTGTATTGTTTCCTCTTGGATAGAAAAAAATTACTTGGTTCATGTATTTACAGAACTTTTACACTTTGATTCCTGATGCTTTAAATAAAATGTTTAAGATCTGATGTCTATGTTATATTATCTGACGTCTAGTAGTTATGCTTATCTGCTGATTTAACTTTTTTCCAGACCTGCCTCACCTCATGTACTAGATACCACGGAAGTATTTCTCCACAGTTTCCTACCCCTGTGTTGGGTTCAAACATCCTCGTTCTCATATTTTTCATAATAACTTTACTTTCAGCTGCTTCTTCTCAGATAAATACTCTTCAAATATGGCATTCATGAACATGAACTGACTCTCGCCACAAGTAACAAATATCTGCTACATTTTTCGTTTGACTTTCTGGAACCCCTGCCTCATTCAGATTTAAATAATCTAACAAAAAACTTCTGTACTATTCCACCATAAAAAGAAGCATGATTAAAACATAAAAATACACGACTGAACATTTGAATTAAATATATAAAAGCAAAATGGTGACTTTTTTGCTTTGCTGACCTTTAGCATATGTAATAGGTTTTCCTCCTATTCTATGGAAGTCACTCAGGCTGTGAGGTTTAGTAACGGAATATTCAGTAAAATAATTCATTCCCCAAAATTTAAATTTCAGCCCTTTTTATCAGCCACATATGAACCATTAACTCTGAAGTCAGTAAGGAAGACAGACACTGTGCAGATCTAAAAATAAGGAGCTGAAAAGTGACAGAGCTGAACTCCTTCCATCAAAGAAAGAGCATCACTTTCATGACACTTTTAGTCTCTAAGTACCTACCTGTGAAAGCCATCAGGGTATTAAAAAGCTAAGTGTTGCATAAATGACTGTCATTTAAAGGAAAGCTCTTTTTTTTCCTTTAAAAGTGGAAGATGTGAAACAGGCAGATTTAGAAACTAAAGTTCCTCTGTTCACAGAGCAGGCACTGCAAAGAAGTAAAATTGTAAACATTCCCATTTGTTCTACAGGTTTTAAACAATCTTGAAAGAGTCACTTCTTGCAGTCCGGTATTACTTTAGTTCAGAAGTTCGTTTCTCACCTGGATTTTAAAATGCATGCACTGGAAATTATAAATACTAAGTCATTTAACATAGAGACTGAGCTAGCTGGAAGTACTTGCTTGCAGTTGTCACACACTTGGCTGCAATGTAAAATTATGTTCCATACCAGAAGAGACAGTCTATCATATTGCTTATTCTTCTATCAACATACATAGGTGTTTTCCTATTGGTATTAATGGAATAAAATGAGACAAATTATTATCTAAAAAACAACTTCTTCTGTAGAAATAAAAATTTATCAGGAAATAAAACATTCCTTAAATGAGTGACCAATCTTTAATTCTGATTTTTAAATGCTACAGAAATTACTTTCAGAATTTTTGTATCAACAACATTTTTGTTACAGAAAACAGGAAGTCATAAAAGTAGGCCCAGTACAACTCCACAACATTGCATGAAATGAGGGATTTTTGTGATAATTGTATGAAATAAAAAACAGGCGTCAGATTTACAAGTCTATCAGCACTAAAGTTTAAAATTTCAATCCTAACAGGAAAGTATGAAATTTTAATAGGGACTTACAAGGTATAATTCAACTTTTGATAACTGCTCAACATTATTCTACATATGGTCTTTACAAAGCACATATGACTTACTTTCATTAAAAATGTACTCAAATCCTTCCAAAGTATCAGGAAATTCAAGTGGTGGCTCATCTTTTTTCATTAGTTCATCCAAGTCTATTCTAGACAATAAATCTAAAAAAGGAAAAGAAAAAGTACATAACGCATGCTGTGTCTTTTATTTCCTTTGTAAAACTAAAAACATGCATTTGCTGATATTTGTAGATCTTACGGACAGAAGAATATCTCAGTATTACTAAACACAAAACACTGTTATAGAAATCCTGTTCAAGGTTCAAAAGCTGGACTTCACTGCCTGTATACATACTCATTTATTTACTTATTTATTTACCTACCTATTTATCTCTATGTTAATCTAAAAATGTCCAGAGAAAGGGAAGCCACCAAAGACTTAGCGATTTGTTTCAATGATTCATTACCTCAATGTTAGAAAGTAAGTCTCTGAGGTATGCATCATGGTTTTAACATAAAGTTCTCTAGCTTCAGTTTCAAATAATCGATAGCATCTTAAATGCCTTCTTGAGGAGTTCAGATTATCTGAGGACATCATCTCACTGACAGTCACCAGATGTGTGACCACACCAGCCTTCAGCCCCTCCTTTGATACCCAGACTGTTAGGCCTAAATCCTTCGCTCAGCCATCCCCTTTAACAGCCCTCAAGGTAGAGAAACTTCCATCCACTTTACAGCAAGCCACGGCATACACATGCTTTTCACATTAGGACTGTATGGCCTGGTACAGCCTACATGCAGTCACCAATGCAAGTACACTAAAATTAGCATAATCTACATTCTTTACCCTAGATTTAAGGATTTACATTTAAGCAGAGGCAGACTTGTGGGGACATCTTTACATCTACCAAACAATTACTGCTACACAGGTAATAGTGTACAATGATCTCTTCTCAATGCATATCACCCACACAACGCAGTGCTATGTGTCTAACATATTTTCTGATTATTAATTAAAAAAAAAAACAAAACCAAGAAGCAATTCAGCAGGATTTCACCAAAATACATTTTCCTACTTGTTCATCAGATGAAACTGAAGACCACACAAACATTCTGTTCCAGAGTGCTAAACTGACTTGAACTATAATTATTTCATAAATCAAGATACTGTGTGTTACCAAGGAAATACATTAAGTATTCCTAATGTTCTAAGTATATGGATTTTTACCTTTATTATTATCCAACGCTGTAGCTCAAGAAAAAGAAAATCGTTTGAAAAGACTAATTTTCTTTAAGTTTCACTCAGCATTAACTATGTTTCCATCTTTGTATTACTTAAAATGATTATTTTTATATTTTGTACCACTATTTTTGCTTGGTCTTGTTGCCAGTAGGCTACCCACATTACCTAAACTTAGGATTGACACATTCAACACTTTGGAATTTCTACTGTTTAAAATGTACTGAAAATTATCTTTAACATTCTTGAGAGTTCCTTGACCTACACTTCTACGACTCTTCACTTTACATTTATTCCAGCATCCGTGATTGTCACCAGCTCTTCCTTCTGAGTGATTCCACTGGGCAAAGCTGGAGGACCAAAAGCCATCTGGGGTATGGTTGTTGAAATTCAACATCTCTCCAACAAGCATTATGGCTTCTCAATATCTCTGTAGCATCTAAATGTCTATATAACACCAGATACTGATTGGATGATTCTAAATCTGTCTTTGTCAGCCACAGCTCACTTTTAAATCACATCTTTTTAACAGCAAGTCCCCTGAAATCCAATTCATGCAAGCAATTACGTGTTTGCTCTTGTACACTGTCCTTTGGAAGTTCTGCAGAAGCTCCTTTGGTTCTCAACCAAATGATTTGGAAAAAGAAAAGAACTTTGTCAAAGTCTCCCACAACAGGATGTAAAAAATGTGTCCTTTCTTCCTTTGTACTTTGACAAGATCAAGGTAGCAAGTCTTTAGCACATCTTTCTCTCCTTGGTGAAGAGACTCCAGTGACACTGCATCCCTAGAATTTAATTTCACTTGAGTTTCCATACCATTTTACCATGATCTATTTTGAGATGAATTTACACAGAAGTGTCACTTACTATACAACAACAACAACAAAAAAAAAAAAAAAAAAAATCAATCTCCTGAGTATCAAGGACCATAGTATATGAGGTATATTATTATTATGCTTATTCACAATAGGTACAGCTTGTATTGTCATGACTTACAGCTTTCATCAGTCACTAAGGAGAACTGCACCTGTTCTGAGCTGAAACCACTGACACGTTCACTTTCTTCTTGTGCAACTTTTCAAATTAAAATTATCTAAAGTGTCTTACAGCTTGGCAATTCCTTCCAAATCTGATCTACCATTCTTACCTAAGGTCTTGGACTTTCTAACTCAATTTGAAATAGTTCAACAGAGTTGAAAACTGAGTGATCTGCAGGAGACCTTCTATAGGTAAATGGAAAATCACTCAATCACATCATTAGCACTAATCCTTAAAGATAATTAAATTAATGCCATGTATAAAATGGGAGTTTACTTCCAAAGCTGAACTATAGCTTCCTCAAAAGATACTAATTGAACAGAATTGGCACAAAGTTTTATAAAAGCACTACATGGTTTTCACCAAATACTTCACAAAAACTCAGTTGCAACTGAAGAAATGACATCTATCATCACATGTAATGGAACACTGCTTTCTAATAATGCTTTGATAGAAATCCAGGATGTACACTTGAGTGGCAAACTATGTTATTTTTTCTCCTTTGAAAGACAATTTAGAATACAACTGTGCGATGCAAACACTTTAAAACTTTGGTTAGTTTACTTGTAGGTCTTACCAATTTCCTGCACTTCCAAAGCTGAATGCCACTATCTAAAATATGCCATTTATGTAAATTATTTTTACCCCTAAGTCATTTAGATGTGTTTATGTTTTAAAACATACAATGGGAACTTTATTAAACCAATATGGATATCAATGTCCTGAAAGCCTTTTCCCTTTTAGCACTCTAGTCCAAGAGCTTTTTAAAAGCTGTAATATGCTTTTAAAAACAAAAGCATCACGCAAATTAAATCAAAACTTCTGAAAACTAAGAACATAAAAGTCAGTCAACTTTCTAAAAGGACAATGATGAACATTTTAAAAGCAATGAATAGTTTATTCTGCTACTCCTTACCATATATCATTATGTTTTATACCATCTTATGAAAATACTGATAAATGGACACACTGGTAGACAATAAGCAGCACAGGTGGACTAAGAGTCTCTTCTAGTATTGTAATTCCTAAGCTCTAACTTATAATCATATCATATTATTTTCCTTTCCTAAACAATAATTTCTGAAATGTCAATATATGTAAAAAAAGGCAAAAAAGACTCATACCCTTTAATGCAGTGGTCTTCTCTTTTTCATCTGGACCTCCTTGCTGGAGCTGAGCCATCATTTACCCAAACTATGAACAAACTCTGAAATACTGAGGTAACTGTAGATTAATATTCAAAGGATGACCTGAAAAAGAACAAGAGTTGGAAATGAATAAATTTACTGAATTCTCCTTCAACAGCTCTTGTCTGCTACTGTTTACATCACCAAAAAATATTCTGATTATTGTAAGCCCAAAGTCTGACCAAGTTTGGGTAAAGATTCAAGTTCACAAGAATGAACAATATCTCTCACTAATCCTTAAAGTACTTCTACGTAATCAAAACTACTCCCTTCATGATTCTATGTAGCATCAGTAAACAATAAGCCTTTTACAGAAGTGCAACACCTGCAAGTCATAAACAGAAGGTACAAGAAAAACAAAAGACAATCAACAGAACTTCCACAATCTTTATGGATTTTCTTCCTCAATAACTCCACTTTGTTGTCATTACTATACTACATAGTTTTGTTTTAGTAAAGGTACAGGAAGCACACAATTTTAAGCCACTGTGATTTCCACAATACATTACTGGTATTGAAATGCATTTGTATTGTAAATGTATTAAAATATAAAGCTACATTTGTCCAGCTACAGAACAAATCTCCATGTATTCAAGACAAGACTTTACATACAAAATCTATTTCCAAATTTCTCCTTCTGCAGAGAGGGCAAACCAGACATTCAAATCCACAAACTCTTTCATCTTGAGTCTGACACCAAGGGAGTGAACTACCAAATCATAATTGCTTCTTCCTTCCCAATAAAAAGACTTCAGAGCATTGAACTCCTATTCCCTTAATCTTTTTTTGGTTCTTTGTTTCATGTGTCAGTCATTACCAACTTGTTTTATTCTTCTCCCTCATGTACTTCATCATTGATGAGCTTGTATGAACTCTATTGTAACTTGTCAAAACAGTAACAGGATTCACCAACTGAACTATTGGATCCCTAACACTTAGACCTGCAAGAAGGAATGCCAAAATGGTTAAGTAACAGTAATCCATTCCATAGACAGCACAAAAAAACCAACAACTTAGCATAATAAAGACTAGTTCTCTATTCTACATAGACAAAACCTATTAGACATTTTCTTGTATATTAAAGGAGCAATTGTATATTGTGTATTAAATACAGCAATTTAAGGAGGTGTTAGTTATTAACTAAGGAGAGGGTTTGAAGGATTGTTGTGATTTGGTCTTTTAAACTTGTGGGTCTAGAAAATCCAATAATCCATTTTACAAGCTGGAACTATGGCAGATTTTGACACCTTCCTTTGTAAAGGTTGCTCAGACAAAGCTCATGGGAAACAGCAATACACTTTACAAGAGTCTTTATAAGACATAACTTCAAATGAGTTGGAAAGGAAAGGTCTTTATACTGAGTACTTCATAAATTATGACATGATTCCGTTAAAATGTGCATCTTTTGTCCAACCCTTCAGTGACCACTCATAACAGCAAAACCACTGAGATTTTTTGTGCATTTTCTAACCTATATTGTTGTCAATGTAAATACTAAAAATTCTTAATTATTTTTAATATTATGTAAATATTTGTGATTCAAAGGTTGATTCCCAGATATGGATGGTATTAAATATTTTCCTCAGATGCTTCCAAGCAGTCCATAGCAAAAAGACTACCAAATACAAAATCTTGTCCATCTTGTTTGTACATTTGCAACACAAACCCACTATATTCTACATAGTAGCATATTCTAATAAATTCCAGCATATTCTAGTAAAGCATATAGAAAAGAAAGTAATTTCAGTTTAAATTATTCAACATGCTAAAAAATGACAATGATAGTGTTTTGTAATAACCCAGATTAAAATTACTCTAGTCATATAAAATTGAGTGGTTCTCCCTACACAATATTCAAAAATTCCTAATTTGGTATAAGTAAGTTAATGCGGTTAAGAAAATACAAACAGGTCCTCAAATATTTGTTGTTAGCCAAGGGAAGAAACATAAAATCTAAGTTAAAAGATTTACCCTGGAAAGTGAGACCCCACCCCCTGATCAGATAAATCAGTGCAGAGACCAGGAATCTTTGCCATTCTTGTCTCTGCCAGGGATACCATTCTTCCTTTATTAGATGAAGACCCTGCCACTGAGTAGATAACACTTAAACTGCAAAGCTGAAAGCACCAGAGTAAATAAATGTGAATTTAGCTTTGTGAGGCAGAATTTACAATTCTTTTTGACAAAGTAAAAAACTGTCACAGCAGACACTGGAGGCAGGACTTGATATCATAATGAGGATGGAACAAGTACACAGCACGTTATGCATTGTTTCTGTGAATACAGGATGTTTTGGAATCCCTCAGTGATACTTGTTTAATTAACTAAGAGAATAAATTACTTGAGAGAGTTGAATTTCTGTTCTTTGACAGAGAGGTGCCAAATTCACTACTGATGGTATAAAAATAAACAATGGAAAATTACGAAATTCTGAATGGTTCCATATAGGCAAAGCAGGAATTGTAGGCATTCATTTCAAACTGCAGTTTATTCTAGTTATTAATTTCATATCCCAGATCTTCAACTGCATATACTGACCACTTAACATAATTCCTAAACGCCATCAAGTTTCTTGTAATAAATACAGACTTTAAATGTGTTATGCTTAATTTTTTGATGTTCTTAAATGTGTTATTCAGACAATTATTTAGATTAGTCTTTTGAAAGCACCTCTGTGGAGTTTTTTTTATTAGCTACATACAGCAAGTATACTTCCTAAAGCACAAGTTACTATTTCACCTGAAGAAATAGTTACAGTAAATAAGTTTAGGTATATTTACTTGTATGTATCTTGTTTATGCATGAAAACTTACATATTCTGAAACATCTGAAAAAGTATCTTATACACATTCTGTGCCTCTTTAACTCCATTTGCTGCAATACTTAAAAATAATTTGACACAGATAGTCTTCTTTCATGGTTTCACATGAGCCAATAAGGCTGCATTTTCATTATACCCCTGCTTATGTAATTACAGAAACTGGCAGACTCAAAACAAATGGTCAAAAAATTAATTTTTTAAAAACATACACATAAGAGAACATACACATACTTCATGTTGTTGCTCGTAACGTGGTATTAGAAGCTTGGACTACAGACCTTGTGATGGCATAAGTTGTATTTCTTTAAATCAAACTGATACCATATGACACCATATCATATCCATACAAATAGTACATATACGCAGGTTTCAGCATACTTAAAATACTCTTCATTGTGCAAATGCAGACATAAGAGTGACAAAAAAAAATATTTTGCTTTAAATTAGCAATACCTGAAGCTAAGTCAATATGACAAATACTCCACAGAAAAGCTATAAATTACTGTAGCATTAACAAGCCAGAAATGAGAAAAAAAACATACAAGTATCTTCAAAAAGCACAAGTCCTTCAGGCTTATCTGGATACAACAAGGAGGTGTTATCAGAATGCTTCTTTGTACTGCACTCCTTTATTAAAATATAATAGTATGAGAGTCCTATTCTTTGTAAACTGGCATCCCAAGCAAGCTAGGAACAAGTATGGGTTAGATCTGTATAATGTGACTGATGACCGATTAAGACTCAATTCTTCTTCAAAGAGATGACTGGGTCACAGTTTGCCTCAAGTCCCTAGTTGGTATAGTCTCAATAAAGCAAAAAACCCAATAATTTATCTTAGCAATATTTTCTCTCTAATTGGATTTTCTTTTCCCACTTTAAGGGCACTACAGATGGCATCAGTAACTGCATCAATTAAGGTTGTACATCACTTTCCCTCACTTAAAAGAATGTATTTTTAAGTGCTTATTGGTTTACCCAACCCAGCTCTGAAAGGCTGTTATTTCCAGTCTGCTTCAGATTAAATGGTTTTGAAAATGTCTACCTCTAGTATAAGAAGATTCAGAGACAGCATCTTATGGTCAGTTCTGATGATGTTAATGAGCAGCTACAGCACCTCCATGTTAAAGATGGCATTTCTACGTTTGAGATCAGAAATTTAGGATCAGAGGACCAGCTTAGTAGTATGTACTTCTTGCCATTAACTACCCTTAAAACCTTTCCTGCTCTGTTTAAGTTAAAATGGCCTTTCTCACGCATTTAGCACAGACTTACTAAGACTTACCAGAATTTCAAGAAACTTTACCTAGTTGTCCAGAGCATGTTCCATACCACTGCAAAAGGCAGAGGAAAGATGCACAGGAAGGGATTAATAAATGCTAGAAGGGCAGAAGTAACCGCTTAAAATACAAAGAAACTGGCAACAATCCTTAAGCCCCTGAATCTCAGTAGATCTGCGTACACTACCAAATGGTGGTAGAACTTGCTAATAAAGTACACAACAGCAGTCTGCTCTAACATTTGATATAGTAGCACAGCAACCACCTTCCAGCTTTATTTACCCCCTAATTTCAAACAATGGATGACCAGGAGCCATGTGCATTAGCAGGATGTGTCAGCAACTCATTACACCAAGCGGAGTCAACCCAACTCCACACATTAAGATTTTAATGATTTTGGTTTAACTTCCTTGAAATGCTGAAAATTACCTTCATAAGAATATCCATATTAACACAAGCAGGAGAGTCAGTTTTCTTCATAGTAGCTTGTAGGGTTTGGATTTGTGCTGAAAACAGCATCATTAACACTCTGAGCAGTGTTTACTCAGCATTAAGGGCTCCCCCGGCTTCTATGTGCTGCCCTACCAGCAGGCAGGCAGGGGTGCACAAGAGGCTGGGAGGGGACACTCAGCCAGGACAGCTGAGACCAACTAACCACATGATGACACACAGCAATAAGAACTTGGAAAAGAAGAAACTGGGAATGTGTGGAATGATGGTGTTTGTCTTCCGAAGTTACCATTACATGCGATGAAGTTGTGCTTTCCTGAGGATGGCTGAGTATTTGCAACTCCTTGTTCTGCTTTGTTGATGTGCACAGCTTTTATTTCTATAAAATTGTCTTTTTCTCAATCCACGAGATTTCTCACTTTTACCCTTCCAGTTCTTTGCCCCATCCACTGTTTGGAGACTGAAGGTGCAGCCAGAGAAGGACTTGCCCACCTACTGTGGCTAATTGACAACAT